TTCCTCTAATGGATGCAGTTAGCCCTCCCTGCCTCATATTCTTGTGTCCACTCACCTCTTTATTTTGCTTCCTTTCTCTTCACTGCCATCTCCTTGCTCTCTTTATTCCACTTCTCACTTCTCTGTTCCTAGCATCTGCCACTTGGATTGAAGAGTTCCCATCTGCTCATCACCTGATGGGACACATCCCTGCCCAGAAGCTGGGAAGAATTGGTAATAAATAGGAGAGATGCAAAGATGCAAGAGGCAAAATACATGTTAATTTTTTTTTATTTCAGGCTTCTGATGGTCAAAATGGCTGACAAATCCTATTTCTGCTGCTCCCTCCCTTTGTTTAAGTGAAGGGGAAGAGTGTGGCTCTGGAGGATCAGTCTCATTTTGTCTGGCCTTTATGCCATTGTAGGGAGGTCCTCAGAGAAATCGCGTAAAAGCATGTGCCTCATGCGAGTACTGCCTTCTGTTGTGAATTCACCGCACCTCGTGGTGTGTGCCTTTCTCTGAGCAGGACCTGAGTGTCACAAGCCAATGAGGGAAGAGCCACAGCAGAAGCCTGCTGGGTTGCTGCATATTCACACTGACTCAAGATACTCACCACCTTTCTCAGCTCTAGTTATGTGGCAACATTAAATATGACCACGGGCATCTATCTAAAAGATTAAAGTGCATCTGGCTTTTTCCAGCCATGCAGGTGAATGAAATTTTCCCTCCCTCTCCAGCTCTCCATAGAGACCAGCTCCCTGCTGCCTGGGTTGCCAGCCAGCCACAAGCTTAATTGGGGCTGTCATCAGAAGAAATGAGTTTCCAGATGAGCTGAGTTCAAGCAGGTCTGGATCTGAAGCGTGCAGATGCCCATTCCCTTTTGTCACCCTTTCCCTTCTGCCTTCTATTTTTTCTTCTCTCTCGCCTCTGTTTCTATTTTTTAATGTTTTATTTTAAGGTTATGAATGCGAATGTGCTCCCCTGATCACGAGGGGTGAAACTCGGTATCCAAGTAACTTCAGAGAGGCACGCAGGCAGTGCAATACAGTGCAGGGACCTGCTGCTTGAAGGGTGGTGTAATGCTAGTATTGTGAAGCACTGGTCGGGGGCATGTTCCTTAGAATCATAGAATCAACTTGGTTGAAAAAGACCTCCAAGATCATCAAGTCCAACCATTACCCCAGACTGCCAAGTTCTTGGAATGGAGCATCTCCTGTCTGCAGCCAGGCTTCTAGAAAAGGCTGGGAAGGAGAGAAAGCCTGGTGAAATTAACATCTCTTACAGTCTGTGTCCTAGCATCTCTATGTGTCATCTCACTTCAACAGTGTCTAATGCTGTGCCCCAGACAGGGTGGGCTGTTTCTATAAGGCCACTGCTCTGTGTGTTGATCACTTGTACCATCTCAGTATTTTTTCAGTACTTAATCTCATGTTGTCAGGTTTTAAAGGCTGGGCTTTTAGTGGTGTCCTGGAGTGGCCAGGGCTGATCATTCCTCTTTCCAACTCCCTTCTCAGTGCAGTGCAAGTGTGATTAATTCCTCAGAGCACCATTGCTTTCAGTAGCACTCTAAACACTCCCAGTGTTCCAGAGCTATAGTAATGATTGAAGTGTGATAGGACCTCCATTATGCCATGGAGCAATCTCTTTCCAAATGCCTGTGTCCTCTAGGTTTGTCTGGGGCATAGAATGATCTTGAGAGATTGAGCTGAACAAAACCTCTCAGAGACTGCAGATTTTGGGCTACAACTCCAGTACCTCTACTGAGATGTCCTCCATACCCTTAAAGTACTGAAGTCACCGAGTACTGTTGTTTATCCAGTTTTTCTGAATGTACCATGTAGCAGCATCAGTGCTGTCGACACTAGCTCAGGTCACCAGATAATACAGCTCCCTCTCTTAAAGGAGATAAGTTGTTCCCTATTCCTAATGTCACTTGGCAGTTTGCTTCCCAGACCTCCTGAAGACCAAACGTGATTCCCTATGCATCTAGTCTCACAGAAAAGGTCAAGGGAGGTAGCAGAAAGAGGCATGACAGATGGAGAGACCACTCTGTGCTGTGAGAGAGCTGGCAATTACTTATTGATCAGCTCAGGAGGTGATGCTTCGGCTTTTGTAAGTGACATTGGTCTGGAGGGGGCTCCAGTGCAGATGCTGTGTGAGCATCTGCATTAGAGAGATGGGTTTTTCTTGGTGAGTAGGGTTGAGGAAGATAAGGGTAAATCCCACCCCAGGCTTTGCTGTCTCTCAGAAGTCTCAGCCTGGTGCTGACAGCTGTGTTATTAATTGAGTGAGAGTAGGTGAGGTGAAGCCTGGGCTCTCCTCCTTTACCCCCATGTCAGCACAAAGGCCAAGCCATTGGCAGTGAAGAATGATACCAGCAGTTCAGAGCTGTAAGTGTTATCTTATTCCTTTGAGCACTTTACCCTGCACATCACCGAATCTATTGAGGGCTGGACTGTGGTAAAGAGGGACAGTGCTGCCCACGGCAGGAAACCATTTCCCTCTCGACCCACTTTGACAGGGAAGCAAAGCAGGGCTTCTCCCACCACGTGGGGATTTGTTCTAGCTAGCAAAATTCATGGTTTGAGAGGCCATGGAGCCAAATGCCACCGATAGGTTCCATAAAGGGCTGGATGATTTTATGGCCAATAATAACATTTGTAGTTATACATGCTACAGTAAGATAAGGCTAATCAATTCTCATGCTTCAGGTCAGCAGATGATTGCTGCAGGGGTCAGGAAGGAATTATTTCCTCACCATTTACAGCTTTACTTATTTGGCCAGATGCATTAAGAGCCTTTTAATTATTTTTTTTTCCTCTTCTGTCCTCTGAAGCATATGGAATTAAGCACTTCCAGAGACAATGCTCTGCACTGGTAGGGCACCAGCACTCTTGTCTGGCAGGGCAAATCTTGCCTGCATTAATGAACCCTTTTAATGCTGGGATTTTTGCTGGAAGTTAGCAGGGTGTTTTTTATTCCAGAAGAGGATATTTCATTACAGCTTCCTGATGTAACTTGGGGGAAAATTCATTTGGTTCTTCAAAGTGAATAATGTGTTTAGGACCTGCTCTCAGCTTGGGGCCAGAGCTGGATGGGAATTTTCCACTGCAGTGGAAATGCTAATTACTGGGCATAGCAATTTCTGTAATTCTTGATTTCTAGCTTACACTGTACAGAAAAGCTTACAAACAAGCAACCAAAACCCCAAAACTGGGGCAAATCCAAATTGAAGAACTTTGTTTGGGATTGAATCATATTCTTTGCTTTAAATGAACCGAAGCCTGCAGTTAGTAAATTCAGTGCTGGAGAGCTTCTGCCAGGGCTGGTTTTGGGGAATTGTGATGCAGATGCTCTGTTCCTTGGCATGGGCTGTCCTCCTTGGAGCAAGCTCCTCTTTACTGTGCTCTCTAGTGTCATGCCCTTAGCCAGGGGAACTGAACACTCTGGAAAACAGACTGACAATCCCAAGCTACGATTCCTATGACTCCACACAACTTTGCAGAAACACACACCTTAAAAGCCCAGCTCTGAAAGGATCTTAAGGCATCCCAAGTTAAGATAAAACTGAGGTTTTCTTGATTCTATTCTGAGTCTCACTTTGGGGGAAACTCCATTACACCTGTCTGAGTTGGTTAAGCAAGCAGCAGCACAGAGCTGTTTGGGCTTCTCATACCATTTCCTTGCTTCTGGCTGGAGCCGGGTATGTTATAATCCACCTCTGCACCAGCTCAGGATTTGTCTAGAAGCACCGTTCTCTTTCATCAGGAAAAAAGACACATGCCATCCATTTCAATGAAAAATGCATAATGCCTTTTCCTCTTCAGAAGAAACCTGCAAGAGAATTTTTCATTTCAGAAGCTTTCCACTGATGCTTTTTTACCAAGGAATATTTTTTTAAATTATTTTTTTCATTTGATTAAAACAAACATAATTTTAAAAGCAGAAAATCTGGGATGTTTAAAATATTCTCTTTAAATTAAAAGCTCCAGTTGCTTTGTGGGACTTTCAAATGAGCTGAAGTTTGCCCTGACTCAGACTGGAGCACTGCAACCCTTGGGCCAAATTTCTTCTCTACTGTATTTTTTTGTTTTGTTGGTTTGTGTGGGTTGTTTTTTTTTTTTATTTTGCAAACTTAGGAGTTGCTGAACTTTTGTCTGACTTACGAGAGCAAAATACATAAAACATCTCCCCTGCTCTTCAGGACAGCAATAGTGTATGCTTCCCTACCCTAATTTGTCACATTTCTTTTAGCAGGAAGGGAAGCTCCAGGCAAAGCCTGACACTGCCATATATGTTTGACAAGTGGGTTTCATAATTTGCTCCAATCTCCCTGACTTGTAGCCATTTTTGGCTTCTCTTTCTGCCTTCTGTCTCTGGAAGGGCTGTCCCCCTCCAGCCTCAGGGCAGTGAGCTTGATGTGGGAAAGGCTGCCTTGCCTCTCCTGCTCTGTCCCCATGCTGGGGTAAATGTGAGGTGCATAATGAGGTGATTAGAATGATTATAAGAAGACAGTGATGTGACCTGTGTTATCTCCTCTGGGACTTCGACCGAGGTGACTATGTGGGAGACTGGAAGTTGCAACAAGGTAAGAAAGAGGAGGGTGGGAGTGAGACTGGGGAGCCTTAACTTAGGCTGTGATGCTAAGGAAGGTCTTAACTGACTCTGTGGTTAAGCTCCTCTTGAGGCATCTTCCAACTTGTGCAAATTGTCATTTTCATTCTTTCTGCTTATTTATTCTTGCTGCTTAAAATCCCAGTCTGCCCCAAGAGTGACTGGGGTCCTGGGGAGTGTTGTGGAGATTCAGACCCTTCCCATAGGCTGGACCAGGTGAAGAGTTTCCATCTCAGTTCTGCAACAAATGCTTCCCAAAAAATTTCATTCAGCTCATCCATAGGTCAAATAAACCCTGCAAAAACTCCACACTGAGGGAAAAATCTGTATTTTACCTACGAGAATCTCTGCCACAGGATTCAGCTTTCTGAAGTAGCTTGCTTGGGTTGGAAAGGGTTGCAGGCAGCTCAAAGCATAAAGATTTTAACAGGGAGAACATTACAAGGGCATTCTCCTAGCTGAAGGCAAGAGCCTGCTGGGCTGCTATGCTCCAGTGCCTTGCAGGAGAGATGTATCCTTCTGTCCCGGCTTCTGTCTCCCTGCGTCTGAGCACATCAGAAGTTTAAGTGCACTTATTGTCAGAGAATATCTCTGAGGGGAGTTGATCCATTCCCCCATGCTCGTAGAAGGGGTTTTGGATTCTGAAGTGGTGCCTGGGACAGCAGTGACCCTTGCAAGCTTGAGTTGTCATCCTGAAGTTGTCAGAGATGCTGGGCTGTGTCTTCCTCTGCAGCAGTCATACATCTCCTTTTGCCTATGGAGAGATAGAAATAAATAAATTGGGGGTTATTAATCAGAATAATTGTAAAATTTACACAAATCACTGCCCTCTTTCCCAGTCTATAATCACTTGCCTTCCACAATTGATCAGATAGTGCCAGTCAATATTTTAGTCTTTTTCAGTACCAAGGTGGCAGTACTGCCGTTTGTGCATTGGGCAGGGGTAGCATAGACCAAGAAATCGTTATTGCCATTCTTTTAATACAGACTGGGAAGAGTGAGGTTCACCTGCTACAATGAGAACTTCTGAAAAATGCACCAGGAGAATGGCAAATTAAATCTTTCAGCTGCGTTTTGCTTTTGGTCTGCGTTTATTTCCTATCTGGTTGAAACCTCCTGCAAAAAGCTCTACTGGACCTGTGTGCAGGGAGGTCTTGGCTGAGATTCAACCACTATAGCTTCGGTTCTGCCTTGTTTTTGAATCTAATATTCAAGTTATAACTGAGTTCCCTCTCAGCAGAGCTGCCTAAATAGGGAAGAAGAGAGGGAGATTATACATGTTCTCCCAATTGGAAAAAAATCTGCTATTACTAATGAAATGTTGAGACTTCAAAAATGCAAGTCAGTTCTTCATTTTGATACTGCAGAACTGCCTGTATGGGTGGGAGAAGCAATATGACTACTAATTGTACACAAATTCTCTATTTCTTTTAATTGTTTCCATAACTTGATTTACTTTTGAAATACTCTGTGGATGCTTTGCTTATTTACTGTCTCTTCACATTACTATCACTTTTCCTGCCCTGGCTGATGAAGCACATTCATCATTTCTTTTCATTTGGCATGGACAGGTACAGTTGGTCTTAATATAGGAGCCTGCTTAGAAAAGGAGCTTCTGGCAAAATGGTTAGTATAAATTTAAAACAGAGTTAAGTGATCTATAGGGAAGAGGTAGAAGTAGTTTGAAACTGAATAAAACACCCTATGAACATCACTTCAAGAGCAAGGAGGAAGATCTAAGCAGGATCAACTTATTTTGTAGATAGGGTGTCCTGGTTTCTGCTGGATTAGAGAATTTTCTTCCAACTTTCAAGCTGGAAGTGTTTTCAACATTATTCTCATATTAAATTCAAAACACAGCACTGTACCAGCTACTAGGAAGAAAATTAACTGTATCCCAGTATAAACCAGGACACAGAGAAAGGAAAAGTTTGGGCCAGTATAATGGGAGATCAGAGAACAAGTATTAAGACTGTGTCTTGCCTTGGTTCTTTAGCCATTAAGGTTCCAGTGAAATACCTCCAGAAACATTTCTGAATGGCTTGAGGACTTCACTTGGACATTCAGGCTTAACTAGAAGGTGGCATGTGGGGTGCAGCCACAGTGTCTGCATAACCCCTAGTGCACAGCACATTAACAGACACAGATGCATGCATTTATCCTTGTGTGTGTCAGGACAGCAGGGGAATACAGCTCAATTTCTATGGCATCAGAGGAAGATGTTGCTAACCTGGCCCTCTTCAGCAATCCCTTTGCTTCCCTTCCATATTGCTGCCTTTCTGCACATTTTAGTCACATGGTGAGCCTACCTGTTATGCCTCAGAGATGTTCCTCCTGCTTCTGTAGGTAGCCAAAAATACTTGCTAGCTTTCTCTCCTTTTTTTGCTGCATCCAGAGATCCAGTCAGGTGTTTCTTGCTCAGCTGCATGCCCAGTTCTCTTCTTTCCCACCTATTGCAATAGCATTTCTTCCTCCTGTGGAGTTGTTGGACAGCTATGCTCAGCTACAGACTACAGCTATTGTCCTCCTTTGCCCATGCTTGCTGAAAAAGAGGCTGTAACAGCTATTTTAATTTCCTCAGGTTTAGCTTCAGCTTACTGCTTCTTGGCTTGAAGGACTCTTACATAAATCTAAACTAATCAGTTTTCGGCCAAGATTCAAGACCTACTCTGTATGTTATTTCCCATATGCTCTTTATAATGTTTTGTCTCTGGACTATTTTTGCTTCTAATTTTTCAGTGAAAGTAACCTAAACTGGCTGAAATAAGTGTTTCAAAGATGACTTGATTGTAAGCCAGTGCTGGGGGCTGCCTTATATAGATGTTTCCTAAGCATTTTCTTCAGAAATAGTCAGCCCAAAAGCTGGTCTCAGAGGAGGGTCGTGGATCAGAGTTATCAACACAGGTTTTTATGAATCATGAGACTTGCACTCAAATTTCAATTCAAATAAAACATGCCAATTGAAGTGTATCTTTCCCTTGTCACTTCTGCAGAGAAAGATTTTATTAACACCAATTGCATGGAAACAGGGGTCAGCTGCAGTGCCCCATGTAGATAAAAAGACATTAATGCACTTAGGCTGTGACAGCAAAGAGCAGCTGGTTTTATTTAATGTTCCTTCTAAATCCAGTGGGAGTTTTGAGTGAATGCTGCTGGACTCAGGCTGAGTCCAATGACAGATCCCTGGGGCAGAAAGGCTGTGAAGGAGCATTCTGTGGCACTTAGTGTTGGTACCAAGATCTTGAGTGGCTCCAGTTTATGTGGTAGCATGTTGTGAGGACCTTGGGATCACTGGAAATGAGTGAAGGATGCTGGATCTGAGGACAGACAGATGATCACAGGCAAATCCTGCCCAGACACCTGCCAAGCTGCGGTGGCTGGCTGCTGGCATACCTAGTGCCAAAGGGCTGGGAGCATACGTGGGGTTATTTCTACCACTCACTTGCCTGAGCTCAAGCCTCTGTCGTGGTTTGTGTATCCTGGTCTTCTCTTTCCAACAGATTCATTTTTCACTAGCTCAAATTACTGTCAGAGCTGGAGATGAACTATAGCCTGACCCAAGCAATGGATATGGAAAGCTTTGGGAAAGGACTGTCGTTGATGTGGCAACATGCATCCACAACCCGGTCCCGAGTCCTGCTCCACTGTGGTTTCTCTCACAGGGTCCCTAAGCAGGAGAAGGGCTGTGGCCCTTGCACAGAGCACAGGGCAGGAATGCACATTTCCCAGTCCCATGATACTGTCCGCAGCATGATGTGATGCTGCTGCGGCTTCCTCCACTGCAAGCTCAATCACAAGCTTCGTCTCATAGCACAGGACAGCATTGTTAAAAAGGCCAAGGTTTTAAAGCTCCGCTGCTCACGCTGCTCCTGCCCGGCGTAGCCAGCTGTGATGATGGATGTATCTCTCCATCCTCGGCAGGAATTGTACAACATCTCATGACTGTGATGCCTGATCAATTAGTACATCTCCTTCCATCAAGCAGACTATTTTGACGAGCCTGAAGCCGGCTTCCTGAGGTGTGGGCTGCAACCTGCCTGTGCCTTTCACAGCACATGCACCATCTCCCTGCTGAAGAGGATGGGAGCTGCTTCTGGAAAAGCTTTCTCCTTCTAGGTCATCTAATTTGAACCTTTCTACTAAATAGGCTGCTTGACATTTTTTGATATAAAGGTCAACATCCTCTGATAGACTCCAGGATTTTAAGGTAAGTGGAGGAAATGGCATTGGTAGGCTGATTTTGATAATGATACTAATCTTGTATCTGATCTTTGATAACGATTCTAACCCTGTCAGTGTGCTGCTCATATCTCTGAAAATGTGGCTGGTGTCTTTCTTTGGCAGAACCAATGTTTATTAGCACAGAGGAGCTTTACTGGAGACTTTAACTTGTGCAAGAGCTGCCATACTGAATGCAGAAAAGGAAGCTTGAATTGTTTTTAGGTAAAAAATCAATGAGAACAAGTGATCTTGGCTAAATATGGTCACAACCTCCTGAGACAGCTTTCCCAAACTTGATATGTATTTGCTGGTTAATTATTGTGGTGCTGAGTACACATTAGACACACCAGTCAAAATGCATTTACAAGTGGGGACTTTTTTGTTTCAGAAAACATCTCCAAATGCTACAAATCCTTTTATTCAGACAGAGGAGGACAGAGACTACCTTTTATTTGTGCTACTCATGAAGCCATGAGGTTTGGGAAGCTTTGTGCTCTGGGAAAGGTGAGAAGTGGTTCAGTACAGGGTTGCATTGCATCCTTATAGGCTGTGGGCGATAGATTGTGAAGCACCTCTCATGCAGTATGTTGGGGAAGATTTCTGGCCATTGTGTAAAGGCTTTTAAAATGTGCAAGGTAGAGCAGAAAGAAATACGTTAGGACTGGGAAGGTTTATCTATCCTTCAGACCCAATGGTTACAGTGCTGGGGTGTGGAGATTTGGGTTTAGACCTTGGGCTCAATGGCTTTGGGACTTTGGTCTTCGAGGCCAGATGCTTACTATTAAAAACCAGGCTCCAAGCATGGCAGGAAACAAAAGCTGCTAGCTTTCCTCCCAAGAACTGTTTGGTCTGTCTGGAAGACTGGTCCATAGTACTGAACTGGTGACGGCATCGCGATTGCTGCAGCAACCTTTTGAGATCTTCCTGAGCCTGGAATAGGAAGAAGGTCTACCTCAGTAGACCCTTATAATAGTTATGTCAGTGTGTGGTTGCACAGGACACATGGGGCTGATGTCTAGAGAGAAATGCCCAGATTAAGACTGCAAAGTATGTTCGGGGTTCCTGAGAGGGCTCTCACAGCAGAGCTTTGCCTTACCAACCCTGATCTCCCAAGGATTCTTCAGGAGATCAGAGCTGGCAGCGTCTGGTTTCCTGTGTATTGCTGCCCTTCATGCTTTGCTGTCTCCTGTGAATACTACTTTAAATTTCCCAATTTAGGGTGATACAATAGTCTTTTAAATGGTCCTCTGGTTCCAAACACGATACATAGTATCATTTTCCAGGTAGTCTTAGAGCCAGGTAACTAGCAGTTTTCTCATCTTCTCTGTAAATGCCTGTTGTTTTTTCTCAAGAGCTCCATGTATGGTGTTCTTGGAACCTGGCTTATCTGAGTTTGCTTTCTCCTCTGCACAGTTTGTGTCTCTGCATATTGTCATGCACTTCCCACAGTTCCAACAGCCTTTATTCTCCTGGCTTATGATCTGTTGCTGAAAGCTGATTAACATCTCTCATCAGGTGGATCGGTTATTGCTCTGTATCTGGCTCAAGCCAAGAGGCTGTAGATGTTGGATTTCTTTGATAAGGTGCCAAAGTGTCATTCTGAAGTCAGAGCCAAAGCACTGAGTAATGCTTTTCCCATCTCCCACCATGGTAGACTCTCAAATCCCAGTAGAAGCAACTTAATTCTATTACTTGGCCACTTTCTATCAAGAATTATCAGCCGTATCAGAAGATTTGTGTTTCTTTGCTTTCTTTGTGTTTGTTAGGTTCTCGCTATCATTTGTTCCCTGTAGAGAGAAGTATAAAACTCCTTCCAGGTGACATCTGCAGAAAAAAATCAATTGTTTATCAACATTCCAGCAATCAATAAGTGCAGTGATAGGTGCAACTGTCTCTATTGGAGCTGAACCTTGATTGCTAAGCAGCCAGCTTTTTTGCTAAAGCCGATTGTGCCTGATGCTTGGCTGTACCTGTGTGGCCAAAGCTTGGAGGTGATCTCAGAGCACAAGTCTTCAGAGGAGCAGAGAGTTGCCTTTTGCTGTCCCAGGCCCTTCCCCAAGACAGTGGCTGTTATTGCTCTGTGCTCATTCTCTCTGATCTCTCTGCTGTCTAGCTGTGAGAGCTCTCTAGATGCTTGCACAAATGTGATCAGCAGTCAGGAAGGCATCTGGTCTTCGGGTATTTCTATACCAAGCCACAGTTTCACAGTGAAGAGGAGAGCCATGGAACAAAATACCCAACCCAGTTCCTCACCCAGAGGTGAGGACATCTGTGCTTACAGACAAGCAGTTACTACTGCTTGGAGGCAGTGTAGTACAGATACAAGCAGCATAGTATAAATACAAGCAGTAGTATCTGCTTGTCCCTAAGTATCTGGGCAAGCATATTATGGGTAGGCTTGTATGCTTGGCTAGACTCTCTTAGTCTCTCTAAGACCCTCCTCCCTTTTTCTGAATCATCCTAATGACTGTATTGTTTTGCCACCCCATTCTCTGGACAAGCATACTGTACTAGTAGGTATCTCTAGTCATCTGTAGTCTTCTTCCTTCTGTGTTACCTCTACCCAACTAGTGCTGCTGGTGGGCACAGAGCTGTGTCCTTTACCTGGGATACCTGCAGGCTTTCACTTTTGCTTTAAGCTGTTACTCGTTATCTCATTAAATGAGGGAATTTAAAGATGGCCCTATCTGCACAGGGTTCCTGAGCATGAGCTCCCACATCTTAACCAACTTTGAGGTCTCCTAGTGACTGCCATGTGGCTAAGATACCCCTTCACAAAAATGAGGCTAGGAGCTGGAAGAGTTAACATCAGCAGCTCACAGACACGCTGGAGAGTTACATCATGTTGCTGTGGAAACTAACTTTCTGAAACCACAGTGATATATGGTAAAGCTTTGGGTCAGCGGGTAATAAATTCTGTTTAAAAAGTGATTTTTTCCCCATCTGCTGATGTAAACATCATTAAGAGAAATGACGGCTGAGAGATGGATTTCTTTTTATATCAATTTTCAGACAAAGAAAATAATTTTTTTGTAATAAAAAAGTTGCTGGAAATCAGAGAGTGCTATAAATAAAAAAATAAAGAAAGAGCACTGGTGATGGAACAGAAATTTTCTGTGGTGATTGGTTTACAGCTCTCTGTGATTTAATGGGAACTTGCAGTTCCTTGTGGGAAGCTGCAGCAGAGCCCTGGATGG